TCCCTATATTTATAACTTTATCAAGTCAAATACACTAACCAATAATAATAAGATAGAGATGACCACTCAAGAGTTAATTTAACATTTACATTTGATGTAAGCAGAGAGACTAGACAGCAATTTTTGTTATGTTCATGTGACTCCACCAAGAAAAGGATACAAAGCATAGAAGATTTAGAGATTGAAAAAGGGTACTGAAGAATATTTACTATCCCTATCCTGAAGTGTTTCCATAGCAGCCAAAACAATTATTAAAACAGATACACCAAAAGGAAAGAAATAACACAAAAGCTATCCATCTGAAAACAATACATAGATTTGAAGAGTTATATTTGAATTGTTCATTAATTTAATCATTAAACATCACCTTATTTCTAATATACCACACAGGTCTTTGTAATGACATTCCTAGCAGCACAGAAATTTATCAGAGCAAAGAGATTTTTAGAAAGGAGTATTTAGGAGAGACAACATGTTGACTGCTGTGGCTTCGTGTCACAGTTAATGTAAGGTATCCAATATATGCTTTGCAGGATAAGGATTTCCACAGTAGAATAAGCTTACCATTTGTTCCCTCTTTTTTATCCTGTTTAGATTACACAAACCCCAAAACACCCTACATATGTTCATTCCTCTCCTGGCCTCCCCCAGCTTCTCACAGAATACTGTTTTCAGTGGCATTAAGAAAAGGGACATTAATTCCTGCTACTTCAAACAGTCCCACTGAATAGTCATCTTTCATATCCTCCCTTTAAACTTTCATGAATTGAAAGTCGGAGACTCGTTTTTTAGAAATGCCAACAACTATGTCTTGAAGTCAACAAAAATTGGCTTTTCGGCCTCATCTGAAAGCCATCTATAGACTGTTCCATTTATGTATTAAGTAGCAGGCATCATCACCACTCCATAAATGTCAATGCTCTTTCCCTGCATTCTTTATGTAAGAACACAGCATCATCCACAACCGTTTTTTTCTTTCATTAAAGTCATGAGTCCTCCAGAAAAACAGAGGCAAGATTGTTTTGACAGCAGTGAGCAAGCAGTCTTCCATCTACCTACAGCTGAGCTACAAAATCTAAACAAATAGCAGCCCCCAATGCAAGTGAAGATGCAATACAAAAGATTCTAAGCAGGTTCTCAGTGGTAAAAAGAAATACACCGATACCTACGTGAGAGGGAGGAAAGGATGGTTTCCAATGTAAGTATTTTTCTCCTTGCGTCAATTCTTACAACTAGATTTCAGTCATGTAGGCATGCGGTGCCGGGTCAAGAGGAAGTAATGACACCGTTTATGCTCCCCTTCCTGTGGGAAATCACCCCGCAGCAACGGAACTGGTCAGCTGCCATTCGCTCCTAGACAACGGACCCAACCTTAATAGAACCTCACATTTAATACAGGGCCCTGCAGAGCTCGTGGGTTTAAAAAGCCATCCAGTGCATTAATCTGTTTCGAAAGAATACTTTTGAAGTACACGACTCTTGCCTTAAGAGTGAACCAAAAAGCCAGCATCATTAAGCAATCCTTGAAGTTTCATGCGAGAAGCTGAGTTTAGAAGCCATTGTCCAGAGGCACCTACAGTGCTCAGAATAATTCTCTGTTGACATCTGTACGGGGACAGCTGGGTAGGAAAGAAGACCAGGGCAGCCAGAGAACACCGGCAAGTGAAAGAGTCCACAGCACGACAGGAGAGCAGGCTAGCAGATGGGGTAGTCCACGGGCAGAAGACATGCAGCAAAAAGAATAAAGTGCAAATGCCCCAAGAAGGAAGCGTGTGTGGGAATGCAGATAAAGCAGAAAGGTGACTCCGGTCACAGTATTGCTATACAGCCTGGAGAAGAACAAGCTAAAGGAGGACTTGGAGATCAGGGTAGATTTCTACTTCTGTTACCATCATGAGCAGACAAGAGCTTATCACATGTGCAGTTTCTAATACAGATAGCATCACATAAACGCTCATCTTAACCCCAAAGATAGTTATCAACCTACTGATAAAGGATTTATTTTTCCGACACTATCATTGGCCCCCACATATGACAAAACACTGTGGCAGAACCCGATACATTTAACCTGCACAAAGGTCTCGGGGCTTTAGCTTTACTTGAATATTAAAAAAACCCAAACAGTAAGTCAATAAAAGCCCCTGAAACTTTTCTCTACAAGTATAGCTGAAGTTTTCCCTTAGTCATGTCTTTTCTGTCATTCCCCCACACAAACAGACCCTGTAGTCTTTAAAACCTAATAAACCTTTCAATTACTTCTAAGCGAAGCCTTAGATGGCAGCCTAAAAAGTTGTAGTTACAGGAGTATCACGCTCGAATATTGACAAGTTCCTTTTTCCACTGGAAGGACAACTGGGGCGTAATGTTAACAGGTAGTAAAAAGAGCACACTTGAGAGTATCTCCTGAAAACAGCACTTGTGAACACAACCAGCAGCACACTAAAGTCCTCAGCAGTTATCTGCATACTTGACTTCATGGGTAAGCCGCTCACTGGTGATGAAGCACGCACCCCATCTCTTCCCATAAAATTTGAGCTGAAATGGAGAGAAACCACCATACATATTATTTCTTTTTAAATGGAAAAGATGCTACCCTATTCATTCAGCTTAACCAGTTCAGTACCACAGCTTCTGAGTATTAAAGCATGTTCTGTTTCAGGCCCTAATTCCATAAAATCTAGAGCTGCAAAGCTCAGAGAAACTTCAGCGATCAACTTCTATAAATGGTGCAACGCCTCTTTCAGTTTTTCTAACTCCCAGTGTGGGCGTTACTTTCTGCGAAAGAAAAGGAAAAAGCATGAAGAACAGATATGCAACTCAACAGAGCAGTTTTTAATCCTCAAAACACTGACACCTATGACGCGCTCCAGAGTCCTCCACCAGTCTAGGGATTTCAGTGGAAAAAGAAGAAAAAAAACCTTCTTATCCTGTCTCTGGACAAATGAACTACAGACACCACGTGTGCAGCTCACATTCGGAAAACACTGGCAGCCTGGGCTTCATCTGGAGGTCAAGTTCAAGCACAAGTGCTCCACGGATTCTTTAATGGAACAAGCAGATACTTTCATATACTTTCAATACTCAAGGCCTAAGAGTGCCATTACCTCGTTTTGTGATGCTTCAAAACCACAGACAATCTTAAACCGGCTCCACAGCAAAAACTGAACGCTGATAAACCGGAGGGAACACAACCTTAAGCAAAGTATTTACTGAGTTTATCTATATGGAGCTCTATAAGTAAATCCTTAGCTGATAACATTCATCAAGCCCTCGTTAGAAAAGATTTGTGCAGAGATGTTAGAAGGACTGCAGCAAGTTCTGAAGGAGATGCGAGGAGGGGATTATATTACCATTTCCAGTATCTGGAAACGCATGATCTAGTCCGTAAGGCAAGGGAGGCCTGATAATTCTGCAGCAAGTATCTCTAGGTGGCTCCATTCACATACTTCTGTATTCACTTGTAAGAATCTTACTTCATCTCTTCGGTTTAGGCAGAAACCACAGGGTTGCCCTGTTCTAGTGAAATTAAGTCAATATATATAGATAATTATTAATAAGAAAGGCACCTAACGAGATTCAGAAGGTACTCTGAAAAAACACACTCTCTGTTTCACACTATTGGAGATTAAAGCAGTGTGTAATTCATCAGATTGTTACACTCATTGTTAGTAAATTCTCCCACCTGCTTTTGTAGACCAAGCTTAGTGGCTGGCGATTATTTGGGTTGAAATGGAAAGAAGATTAAATGTTTTTTCAGTTACGATAAACTGCCGTGCTATTTCCCAGGGAAAATTGTGTTTTCAAGAGGAAGGGAGAAGGTCAGCAAAAAAGGGCGGGCATGGAGTACTTGGCAGCTGCGGGAATGAGTGTCTGATCAAACCCCAAGATCTGTAATTTCGTGATGTACACCGTGCAGCTTCCTTTCGCAGAGCTAAAGGGCCACGCAGCGGGCTCCGGGGGTGCCGGAACACCCACAAACGTGGCCCAACTTCGCCAAGCAGCCAAACGCGCAGCCAGCCCGGCAGGCCGGCCACCGTCCCTTCCTCATTCCTCCAGCACAGCGGCAGCAGCCGCCGAAGTTCCGCGCCGGCGGCCCAACCGCCCCCCCCGGCCGGGCGGCGCCGCGGGCCGGGCCGGGGCTGCCGCCGCGGCCGTGCCCCGGGAGGGCCGTCACGAGGGACCGCGGCCGCCCTCCCCCGGCACGGAGCGGGCGGGCGCTCGCCCGGGACCGGGGGCTTCCCCTCAGGCATCGCCCGGGCCGGGCCCCCGCAGCCCTCCCCGCTCGCCTCCCGGCCGGCGGAGGGGGCGCCGGCAAGCGGGAGAAGCGAGGAGGCGGCGCCCCCGCAGACTCCCCGCCGCGGCGGGCGCAGCGCGGCCTCGCCTCGCCCCGCGCTCCCCGCCGGCGCCACAGGTGCTGCGGGCGGCCCCGGCCGGAGGGCGGCGAGGCCGAAGGCACGGCCGCCCCGCCGAGGGCCCGGCCCCGCCCCCCGGCCCGCCGCGGTGCCCCCGGGCGGGGCCTGCGAGCAGCCGGGGACACGCACACGCAGGTAGCGCCCCGCGCCGCAGGGCCGGCTCCGCCGGGGAGAGGCAGCGCGGCAGGGGGTCGCTGCAGGGGGCCGGCTTTTGGCTGCGGGGAGGGAGGAGAGCGGGTGCCCACCGCCCTCCGCGCTCGCCGCGGGGAGAGGGAGGCGGGCGGAGCGGCGGTCATGGCGGGGAGGCACGCCGCGCACCTGGCAGCAGGTGCATGCGGGGGGGGGGGGGGGGGGGGGACACGGACACGGACGGACGGACGGGACACGGCTGCCAGGACGCCCGCCGAGGGGGAGGAAGAAACTAGCGAGGCTTGCCCGGAGAACGGCGCACGTTGTGCAGCCGGGGGGAGCGACTCGCAGGTGCCTGTCATCGGACACACACACACGCACACACACGGTGCGGAAGAGGGGAGGGGGTCGATGCAAGCGCTGCTCCGCAGGCAGGGCAGGCGAACGCACGTTACTCACCGGCAGCTCCACGCTGACTTCGCTCCCGTCCAGGAGGAGGACGCGGCACTGCAGCACCGGCTTACTGCCGCCGGCCGCCGGGATGTGGACGGGGGCTCCGGCGCTGTGCACCACCCCTCCGGGGTGCGGGGAGGAGGGGAAGCCTCCCGCGCCGACGGCGGCGGCGGCGGCGGCTCCTCGCAGCCCCCCGTCCCGCTCGTCCCCCTCGCCGCCCAGCCCGCCTCGCCCGGCTCCGCGCCCGGCTCCTCGCCCGTAGCGCTGCATCGACCGCCGGCCAAAGGTCCTGCGCAGGAACCGCAGCATCCTGGGGGCGCCCTGCCCGGCCGCTCACACCCCCGAGCCCGCAGCTCCGCGCCCGGCCCCGCGGCGCCTCCCAGAGCAACGCACCAGCGCCGCCCGCCGGGAGCCGGCCCGCGCCGGGCGCCGCCCGCCCCGCCTCTGCCGCCCGCCCCGCCCCGCCCCGCCCCGCCCGCCGCCGGCACGGCGGGGCGGGCCGGGCCGCGGCCCCTCCCGCCGCCGCTGAGGCGGGGGGACCCGCGCGGCGGGCAGGGGGAGCTGCCGAGGCGAGGCCACCCGCGGCGCTCGCCCGCGGCCCGCCGGGCTCCCTGCGCCTCGACCCCGCTGGCCTGGCCTGGCCGCGCCGCTCCTCCAGCGCCTGCCCCGGCTGCGCCGCGGTTCGGACGGTCGCGCCGGCCCTTGGGGCGGCGTCTGCGCGATGGCTGCCCCCCGCCGCCGCCCCCGGGCCGGGCCGGGCCGGGGAGGGGAGGGGAGGGCGGCCGCGGGGCCGCTCCCGGGCGGGTGTGCTGGGCCCGCCGCCGCCGCCCTGCGCCTGGCTCCGCTCCGGGAGCGGGGCTGGATCTGCCGAAACCCACCGCCCCGCCGCGGCCCCGTCCTTTGGCGCCCAGCGAGCCGCTCTGCCCCCGCCCCGCTGCCCACCCCACCCCGGTCTGCCGCTCCCGCCCCTCGGGACGGGTGCGAGAGGGGATGGGGGAAGCTACCAGCGAAATAAAAATAAAAAAAAAAAAAGGCGAGGAGGGATGGAGAACTAAGAAAGCCGGGCGCAGCCGGGAGGACGCCTCTCCCCTGTGCTGGGGGAAGCCGAGGCGGCGGGTGAGGAGGAGGAGGAGGAGGAGGAGGAGGGGGGGGGGGGGGGGCACCGCACCGCCTCGCCTCTGCCGCCGCCGCTGCCTACAGCCCGTGGGCACAAACACGTCCCGGTGCGTGAAAACGCTCCCGCATTTGCCTTGGCGGTCGCTGTGGTCTGGAGGCTTAAGGAAACGTACGAGAACGCGGTCCCGAGGGAAAAAAAAAAAAAAAAAAAAAGCAGACCTCCCGGGGGTTTCGCTCCCTTTTGCTTCTGCAGCTGGAAGGGAGGGGGGAGTACGGGTTTGTTTAGGTGTCACAGCACATCCAGGGGTGCAAGTACTCCCTCACACAGCTGCTCTGCTAATAACTTACACATTTACGTATTCTGGCTCGGGTGGGAGCCCTTTTGCTGAATTGCCATGTATAAAATACTGGACGTGAATCCATGTCTTGCAGAAACCATCAGTGAGACTAATTCTGTCACCCTATGGTCAGATGTCATCTAAGGGGCTTTGAACCGAAATAATTTTACTGCTTCTAAAGTTGTTTGGTTTGTCTTTTTTTTTTTTTTTTTTTCTTTTTTTTTTGTCTGCTATGGGTTTATTTCCCTTAACCTTGCTTCCAGGCGGGTTTACACAAGCATTGTCCTATTAAGGTATTCAGAAAGCCTGCCAGAATGTCTCAGCTTGTCATTTTTTATTGAGACTTGATAACGTTAGGTAACTGCCTGCTGCTTCTGTATCTTTTTCTGTGTTTCTTCAATGCACTGGATCAGGTCTTGAAGTGTCTCATCAGCTCAGACTGTCACTAAACTCCATGGTCTTTGGCAGGGATGCGTCCGCAGCCCTTCTGCACTGTATAGCTGCATAAAAGAGCTTTTCTCGAAACAGAATAGAAAGGAGCTCGTATTTGCCTGCTAATGTTCACAATCAAGAGGAGACACTTACTACAGATTGTGGGGGGTTTTCCTAATTTTTTTTTTTTTTTTTTTTTTTTTTTGCATTAGGAGCAGAATTTTCATTTTCTTTCAGAGCCTGAATGGTACAGTCTACCTTGGGGTTCTTTCACTGCTTTGAACACTGTAAAGATATGACAGTCCCATAAAGCTCGTCTGCATACCGTAAGCAACATAAAAGATCTTGAGGGTTGGAAATTCAGCAGAAATACTGTTGTCTCTTGAGGGAGCTACAGCAATTCTGGTGCAAAGGAGGGTGGGGTGGAAGGGAGGTCTGGCATTACTCAGGCCTGGCCTGGCAGAAAACCGAGCAAGTCTTTTGCAGTGCTAAAAAGCTTCTTTACTCAGCTGTGAGACTTCAGCCCTTTGTCTCTTTCAACTTTTGTCATGAAAACAGAAGTCTAGTATTTTAAAATACGTAAAACTAGGCATGCTTGACTTGCATTAGCAGCACACATGATACAGGCTGGTGGCCATACCCCAGAGGGAGTGTTGTATCTGCAGAACGGCCATAGCGATGCTGAGGTCCCATTAAATCTCATATTAAGCAATATGAGATAACGGTCATGGTAAAGGATCTTCTGGAAGGAGCTGGTGGTGGGAGGAAATAAAGCTGGTTCCTTAGTGCCCAGCCTCTCGGAGTAAAACAATTCCACCATTATTTTGTCTCATGTTACCAGCAGAGCTATCTTTAGCCCTGAAACAAGAGCCTTGAGCAACTGCGAGGACTGAAGATGCCATGATACATTTATTGCAAGATGAGAGGTATTTAAACTGGTATTTACATTTGGGTTTGTACTTTTATGTTCCACCTTCTCTGCATTTCCAGGTGGGCAAGCCTTAAAGCGATTCGGTTTGCTGGTACCTCCGTCCTGCAGTCCCTCCTCAGAATGCCTCCTCCATGCTTGCTTGCCAATGAGAGGCGCAAGTAGAAACTGCTGTGGTCCTCATCTGTGCAGCCGTTAAGGACATTACTTTCAAATCTTTATCAAAATAGCCCTCCACTGCAACATCTACCTCTCATGGAATACTCCAGTCTGCCCTGGAAGTCATGATCTGATCGCTGCCACAGGAAAGGTGGTGACCGAGGTGAACCATTTGTACTAACCCATATCGCAGTTCTGGTAGCAATCCCTGCAGGTAACCAGCCTTACCCCTGGTTTTGCCATAATGCTAAGCAGTGTGTAAATGGGAGAGTGTTTCTCAAACTCCTCCTTTTAGTAGCAGCCAGATGGGGGATCTGTAACCGCTGGAGACACTATTGCTGGTCAGAGCTAAATAACTAAATAAAAGCGTGATAAGCACTTTACTCTTGCCCTTTCATTTTGGAATTTTGGTTTTGTTCAAATCTCGTCTGATCGCTTTTTGAAAGCCTCGTAATGGAGGCAGCCACCTAACAGGGATGGGGAGCGAACCACCGACTGTCCCGGGAAGAGACTTCTCCCACGCCGGGCACGCACACGCTGCCTGGGCAGCAGAGGCCTTTTTCTTATTTTGCTCTCTGTCACTGCAATCACATTTATGGATTTTTCCTGGCCTGCCAGGCTTTCACTATCTGCAAAGGAGTGATCTAAATTTAATTTGTGTGCAGCTAGAGTTTCTTTTTCTGCTGTTTTGAAGAAATGTTATCTTTACTGAGTAACTTAAACAGGCTCGTATTTTGCAAGCTTCTGCCGGGATATGTTTTGTTACAGTCACTACTAAAGGAAACTTGGATAAAAGGATTCAAAGAGTAAGTACTGTTGTGAACCCACATGTCTGCATTAAGAGAACTACGGGGAATAAAGAAACTCAATGAGTTACGACATACATTCACTCAGGGTATCAGTTACGAATTTGTTGGGTTTTGTTTTCTAAACTTATAAATGAAATAGTTTTGTCAACAAAAGTCATTAAAGGAGATACTTTTCAGCATGAACATTCATTGGATTGCAACATTCATGTAGCAGTTGGCAGTTCTCTCTGTTTATTTTCCCCAAAACCATGTCAGTTACATGAGCAGGCCTAATGTCACTGTTTGTCAGGATTGCTTTATATACAGATACAGTTCAAGAATAAAACGCAAAGGCAATTCTGAGTTACACAGCTAAGGTTGATTTGCATTTCTATGCCATCTTTCAGCTAGGGAGATCCCAAAGCACTTTCATTTAAAAGAAGGGAAATTATACGTAGAATTATTTCACCAACACTGAAATGCAGCAGCTGTTTAACAGCAGAGAAAAATGCTAAATCTCTCTTATACAATTGTAATGGAAATATGAATTTGGATAAGCAGAAAGTTATTATGCAAATCATATGGCCATGATGCTGGGGCTAGTGGATGTATTCCTGCAAAGGTACCACATGATCATAGGTAGTCAGGGCTTTCCTTTATAATACACAAACTATCTCCTCCAATTGTTACAGAAGAACTGCATTAGGAAAGAAATTTAACACTTCTCCACTTGGAATGATACCAGTGTTACAGTAGGCATGGATTTTGGGAGCTATTGCTGTTCATGTTAATCATATTCTGGAAAGAAATTTTCTTTTTTTTCTGTAGCAACAGTTAAAAATGTAACTCATTCCAGAATAAGTGTGTCCACTCAAAGAACTGTTCTGGTATATCCAGAGAGGTTTGTTGATAAAGATATAAGAGCAAAAAAATTTCCATTAGAAAATCTACAGAAAGAAAATGTTTCTTGTTGAGCGAACACTTTACAATGCCTCCCATCCACCTAATAAGCAGGTTCTATATGACTTAATCAGATGTTCTTTCCTTTAGTGAGGATTTTTTTCAGGTTTGTACTGACCTCAATGAATAGAAATTATTTATATTCAAACCTATGCCTAGGTTTAAAATGTTAACAAAAAAGTTTTCAATGCGGTGTTAAATTGCAAAGATATCAGATGCTCAGCTGAAAAACCAAAGTGGCATCTTTCCACTGGTGAACTGTTTTGATTTAATCTTAAGGGAGCCTAGAAGACTGCTCAGAATATTACCTATAAACAAACATCACATGCCGAAACGCTAATGTTTCCTTGAACTATTTTCTAACAGTAATGATGTGTCTTTTAATTATATCTCCTCTGAAAAGAGATATCCATGGCTTCTTGTGCTGTGCAGGAATCAGTAATATCTGATTTTTGCAACCAAGATCCCTTTGACTGGCACAGCAATGCTGAATGGTACCTTGTATAGGTATGGTGGGGTGAAGAACCACTGGAAACCTTCAACGTATATTGAAAATAGAAATAAAACAAAGGTGAAAGTTATAATGAATAAACATCACATTGGATTTGGATAATTAAAAGAAGCTTAAGGCAGATTCTTGAGAGTTTTTACTCCACTGTCAGGACATTAAGCCACCAGCCGAA